CGGGATCGATCTCTGTCTTTACGGTGAATGTTCATGTGGCCACCAAGTGCCTGCGCTGTTGAAAACCCTCTCTTGCAGAATACGCATTCGTAGGATCGCCCTGTGCTGCCCCCTGCAGCGTCCTCAGTCGCCGTTGCTACTGCTTGCTCCGCAGATTGAACCTCGATATTCTTGTGCTTCCCTTTCCCTTCTTCTTCTTCTTCCATGAGATGAGTACTCGTAGGACACAAAGGCCTTGACGTAATAATATGATGGATAGAAAATAAAGACCCTTACTGCTTAATTATACATCAATTGGTGTGAGTGCACACATAGATTACACTGCTTGAAGCCGGCAACTTTATAAGAAATATACATAAAAGAAGTAATATATTTCATTCTTATCTAATTACTGGTTTATAAAAATGGACTCCTGTCTCCAGCTCGATAGCTCTGTTGCTTTCAACAGAGGTGTAATTTGACGGGGTACTCATGAACACTTGGATTGCCCGTATGCATTGTTGTTTATTATATGTATCTGATGTTTCTGAGCTAATCAACACCAAATCTTTGCCCTTTTCACATTCACCTGTCTTCGCTTTTATTCTTGCTCTAAGCGTACCGTAGAGGGCTTTCACAAGGAGCTCGTACAATTGTACATAAAGCGTGTACTAGTACGCATGCCCACAAGAAGTCTTTAACTCAGAATTCGTCTGTTGAGAACCGATCCATTGGTCGAGCGTGGTCATCGAGCCAGTCCAAGACTCAATATCCTTCTGTTCCCAGGAAAAAAAAAGGAGGGGGGGCAGCGGAACCGAAGGCACACAATTACAAATGAGATTGAAACACTAATCAAAAACCAAAACAAGTATCACAAATGCAAGACAGCAAATTTTACGTGGTTCGGCAAATTTATCTTCGTCCACGGGAGCGGCACAATACTTTCTTATTAATAATAAGAAATTACAAATAAGAGAGAATATCTTAATCTTGAGATTTCTCAAACAAATAGCAAGTGATTTAATCTAAATCACTACTCAAACTCTCTCACTCTTAAATACAGAGCCCCACCAATTAATTGCACCAACCCTCTTCTCAAATTTATGAGAATGGGACAACAGGAGCTCCAATCGCAGAAGAGAAGAGGAGAGAGGGCGCCTCCAGTGATCTGCTCCCAAAAAATCACACACAGACCCTGTGAACAGAGTTTCCCTTTTATAGGGAAACCCTAGGGCACGCCTCTTCAATCGGGTGTGATCCAGCTGGATCCCACCACAGCTCCGCAGTCGGATCTCAACAGGCGAGATCCCCAACATCTGCAGGTGAACACGACACTCCCTACAGCCAAACCCGGCTCTCCTCCAACATGTGAAATCCCTCCTTGGCCTCGCCTCTTCACGCAGGCGAGATCCAACTTGACAGGCGAGATCTTGGGCAAGATCAACAGGCGAGCCATACGATGACACTTCATGCGAGCTTCCCCGCCAAATGCCCTCGCCTGCAAGCTCCGCAGGCGAGCTTCGACCCATCCACAAGCGACGTCGTCGAGCTCCGATCCCGTCGAGCTCCAATCTCAGGTCCGTTTTTCTTTGCCAAATCTACAATATCTAGGTACATGCACGACCCCGGGAAAGGTCATTGAGAGGTCGTGAAGTGGATTCTACGGTATATCAAAGGTACCGTGGATGTTGGTTTGGTATTCGAGAAGAATGGGAAGAATGGACAGGATTGTATGGTTATGCGGACTCTGATTATGCGGGGGATCTTGACAAGCGCCGGTCTACTACAGGATATGTAATTACATTTGCAGGAGTAACGGTATGTTGGATATGCACACTTCAATCTACAGTGGCTCTCTCCACTACAGAGGCAGAGTATATGGCCTTGACTGAAGTTGTGAAGGAGGCTTTGTGGTTGCAGGGGCTATTGGATGACTTGGGGATTACAGAGGATACCATCAGGGTATATTGTGATAGCATGTCAGCTATCTATTTGGCCAAGAACCAAGTATATCCGAACAAAACACATTGATGTCAGATTCTATTTTGTTCGAGACATCTTGGATGATGGAGACGTTAGATTGGAGAAAATCCACACAAAGGACAATCCGGCAGATATGTTGACCAAAGTTATCACTTGAGTGAAATTTGGTCATTGTTTGGAATTGTTGAACATTCTTCGTTATTGAGGGCCTTTGGAGGCCATTGGGTGAACTACGTGAAGGCTTGATTCCTTGGGTAAGAGGATACGTATGCAGTCATTTATGATGCAGCCGATTTGGTGAGTAGCTACCAACGTTTGGAGAGTGGCCTCATTCTCATTTGGGTCTCGACTTATTGTGGATTGAGTCTGTTGTCGTGAATTGTTTCACTTCGTACTGGACGTAACAAGTGAGACATTTGATTTGGTTGATATCGACTCGGTTTTTGAGAAAACTTCGCCGAGGTGGAGAATTATATATTTGGTAAAGAAAAACGGATTTGAGATCGGAGCTCGACGACATCGCCTAGATCGGAGCTCGACGGCGTTGCCTAGATCGGAGCTCGACGGCGTCGCCTGTGGATGGGTCGAAGCTCGCCTGCGGAGCTTGCAGGCGAGGGCGTTTGGTAGGGAAGCTCTCGGGGCTCACCTGTTGATGTCGCCCAAGATCTCGCTTGTCGAGTTGGATCTCGCCTGCGTGAAGAGGCGAGGCCAAGGAGGGATTGCGCTTGTTGGAGGAGAGCCGGGTTCGCCTGTAGGGAGTGTCGTGTTCTCCTGAAGATGTTGGGGATCTCGCCTGTTGAGATCCGCCTGCGGAGCTGTGGTGGGATCCAGCTGGATCCCACCCGATTGAAGAGGTGTGCCCTAGGGTTTCCCTATAAAAGGGAAACTCTGTTCACAGGGTCTGTGTGCGATTTTTTGGGAGCAGAGCACTGGCGGTGCCCTCTCTCCTCTTCTCTTCTGCGATTGGAGCTCCTGTTGTCCCATTCTCATAAATTTGAGAAGATGGTTGGTGTAATTAATTGGTGGGGCTCTGTATTTAAGAGTGAGAGAGTTTGAACAGTGATTTAGATTAAACCACTTGCTATATGTTTGAGAAATCTCAAGATTGAGATCTTCTCTCTTATTTGTAATTTCTTATTATTAATAAGAAAGTATTGTGCCGCTCCCGTGGACGTAGGCAAATTTGCCGAACCACGTAAAATTTGTTATCTTACATTTGTAATACTTGTTTTGGTTGTTGATTAGTGTTCCAATCTCATTTGTAATTGTGTGCCTTCGATTCCGTTGCGCACAACAGGGGGGGCTTGAGGAAAAAGAAAAGAAGAAATCTGGACTTACAATGCGCCCCTATTAAACAATTTCAAGCAAGAATTTAAGGCCTACTGGATATCGGAGGACAAGAACTAGACTCCATTCTGCCACCTATACTATTTATATAATCAACTCTGAAAATCTTATAACTGCCAGATATATTTTTAACCACCTTTACAAATAAAATATTAAAATTGAATTTAATAATATCAATTGGACCCTAGAATAATGTTCACATGTATATTAATAGTGGCTTAAATAAACATCCCCCCATCTCCAACAACAGAATAGACATAGTATTATGCATACAGATATGAATTTTTTAACCCCGTTGAAAACGGATAATGGGTTAGAGATAGAAGTTGGTAACAGAGGAAGACATAAAGTGAAAGTAAACAGAGGAATCAAAATTAGAAAATGGTCAACTTAAGGGTCTTAAAAGGGCAAAAAAGAAAAAAAAAATGGAATGAAGGGAGCTGTGGAAAGCGCGTGAGGTTCTTGATTAACGAGAAACGACCAAATGGGCACCTTTACTGAACCAGCGGGACGGCAGCCCGCTAAAATGGACTCTCCACTCTTAACATTCAAATACGAACCATAAATAGAAGGTCAAGCGACAGTTTTGGGCAGGTATACAGCCTAAAAAAGGCAAATATGATTGAAGAATTTACGCCTCATTAAAATTGAGTGAAGTGGGAACGCAACGAAAAAAAAGTAATGGAATGAAATAAACATGGGCATGAAATGCTCATTCCCATTTTCACGTTTGAATATAAGTAGCGCTGATGGGGGAATAAACACATCTGGAAATTAATGCAATTCTTTGATTCTGACTCATTCACACATAACCTAGGAATTGAGGAGAAGTAAGAATGAAATTTCTAACTTCTAAAAAAATATGTTGCATCTGATACGAATAAATGAGAGGTCTAAGTCAGCATTCCTTTCCTACTCATTCGCATACCAAACAAGGCGATAGGGATACCCAACATGAGAACTTAAATGTGTAATTGATGTGTTAGATTTAAAGGCAAGGTGACAGAATAACCAAATTAAACGCCACTATGGTATTGAGCATATAAAAATTTCTCCCAGGTAGGCACATCACCTAGAGAATTACATCCACACACACAGATTTTAAGATGAAAGGAAAGAATGAAAGATTACTAGAATGGTAGTTCAATACAACGTTAGTAAATCTCCCGCATATTTTCCTATTTCAGTTTTTATGAAGCACAATCCAAATTTTAGAGCAGAAAATCTCTCTTTGAGAATGCAACACCACAGCCATTAACCATTAGTAGAATATATCCGTCCGTCTACAGACTTCTAAACGACAAAAAGGTATGGGAATTGAGGGTCAGAGACCAGTCTCATAATTTTCATGCCGTTAAGACCACTGAAGCAGCAAAGGGTAATTACAAATTCATCCACCAAAAAAAAAAAACTAGCGTGTGCGCCAAAAGTTTCACATAGATGTCATCAATAGAGGATTTAAACAAATGACTAGACTTGAACCCGTGCAAACATGAGCAGAGAATTATTGTTCTCGTAAAGATCAGGGCCAGACAAGGACATCAGTTCAGAAGACACAAATTCAAATTCACTTAACAGGATATCTAGGCATCTTAGATCTTGTAGCTTTCGAGCTTTCACTTTGTAAGGAGGTTATGATACAAGATGACACTGTTCCAACAGATCCAAAGCAGACTTCAGGACATCAAGCGGTAGCAGCAAAATAAGAGATATTGCTACTTGGTCAGGTAATATATGAACAAAAAAAGAGCCACAAAAGATGCCACGAGAGTAGCCATTCTACGAGTGGATTTGGTCTCAAACACCTGATTAAACGATTCTTAACAAAATTAGTCGAAAACAAAAGAAATATTAGTGACTAAAAATAATTATAAGTTTAAAAATATATCACCATCTTGAATCGGTCCATAGTGCCAGAAAGGACACCCCTTGATGCATCCATATCATTACCCTAAATACAACACAAGCACATAAGTTAGCAAATTATCACTATGGACATGCATATTAGGAAGAGAGATATGTGAACTACCATTCGATCAAGCACACGGTTATGGCTGTCAACCTCCTCATGTATATCACCAGTCAACTGCCAAGTAGAAATCATTTCAATCAAATCTGTGAAATATGTTCTAAAAAACAGTACGGTGACCAGAACTGCAATAAAGTATGTACTTAGAACTCCACTGGCATGAAGCAATGGTTAAATATCACAGAAGTACAATAAGCTAAAGCTTGAGTTAACAGTTACAATGATTGCAACTGTTCAAGATTTTATCCATATTCTCCTCAATTTCCTCAGAAACAATGATTAAAGAGGGGGAAAAACAAAGACATTGTCTGAAACCAAAGAACAAGGGGAGATCTCCGGACCAGATAACAATCAACAAGAAATATAGCTATATCGATCCATGAAACACACATTGTCCTATTTCTTATCAGTAAATAAGTAGAATACTTGTTATTTTCATGTTCCCATCCTACAGCCTCCAATCATCAACTAAGCCCTTAATATGAATATAGCCTGTGAGACAATATTCAATGTGCAAGTTGTTCCCTCCACCCACGCCCTTAGCATGGTGGTATAAGGATCTTCTCAGATATATCAAGCTGAAATTTAGGGTAAAAATGCACTTTAAAAATTGGTAAGTACAGTAAAATAGATGCAAATACCTTTGGTAATTCTAGTTCATACTTATAAATATTATTTGACAAATTTGTAGCCTGTAGGTGAAGAAAGAAACTCTACCATTTTAGAAGATGTTCGTGGCTTTAAACAATTCATATTATCTTAAGCAATTCACAAAAAAGAAAAGTGAAGAAACAAGGTAACCCCTCAAAGATAATATTGTACTACAAATACTTCTGCTTGTTTCCAGCAAACAAAAAGCAAGTTGTTGAGGAATATGATTAAGTAAGAGAACCATTTTTCCATATGAGCAACCTAAAACAAATCCAATGGTCTATACATCATTATATGCAAAAAGTAAGAAGTGACATATTTTACGAACAAGGTTGATTGCCCTAATTAGATCCGGTAAGACCTATGATACAGTAGGCTGGAGGTGTCTTAATTAAACTTCGGCACGTAGTGGCTTCGGACATGGGTGGACTGGTTGGACAAAAATGTGTATGTAGGTGAGTGTGTGGGTGCAAGTGTCTATGTATCTCTCCCTGTGTGTAGTCACGATCTAATGGTATGTTTTTTCGAAGGTTTTCACACGAAGATACTTGATTATCTAATGCTAATCCTGCAAAAAAGTATTTGGTCTTAGCATGCATCACACAGTAACAACAACAAAAGCTTTATTCCAAAATTTCAGGTTCGCATACAAACACTAGGATGTTGGCTTATCAATGTATACTACAATATATTTAACATGACACTAGGATGCTGTGCAGGTTTTTCGGATCAAAAGATTAAAAGTTTGCTCGAACAATGTAAGATAAAGCCCTAAATAAAATATGACTTACTCTTTTAAGAATGTTCACTCTATCTTGCAGGCCATCAATAGCTCTCTCATTTTCATGCTCATCAATTTCATGAGAAGAGTAGGCCCGGGTACCACCTTCCTCAATTCCATCAAATAGAGCAGTTCTATTGCTGCGATAGTCCCTGTCAATCATGCGTTATAAAGAAGCCAATTTTCACTATCCTTAGTTAAATTTTAGGTTATGAAGGAATATATGTTTGACCTATCAATTAAGCATGTGTATGATTGACTACGTACGTCATAAGTCAAGAGGATGATCGGTACTAAATTTAATGTGATCGTCTGAAAGGCACAATAACCAATTAAATACTTGAAGATCTTATTGTCTGACTTAATATTTTCAAGTTGATATAGTACTACACTAACAATTTTAATAACAACATTCAGGAAACTTAGAAGTCTGGAATCATTGTAACATACGATATATTTGTCAAAATCTAAGCAACATTAGAACTTTGGGGGAGGAAAGACCTTTGTTATGTCTGACTTTGCCTCCCCCCCCCCCCCCCCAAAAAAAAAAAAAATAATAATAATAAAAAATAAATTCCTGCTCAACTCAAGCAACTAACATGATCCCCAGAAAAGGAATGAAACCAAGTTACAATATCCAGCTACAAACTAGATGATAAAACAAAACATAGAAAAAGCAAGGATGTGGATCCTCTCCAATTAGGTGGTGATTGGAGAAGGTCCAATTCCTCATATCCCCACCATTTATCTCTAATTTAATGGATAAGATAATGCCGCATAGGATTACCACAATTAAACTAGTGGTTTTGAAAGCTACCATTGAGATTTGATAGATATTATGTAAATTCTAACAAAATCATGTTCCCTAGTGTCTTTATTTCTAATCATAAGTTAATCATATGCGTTGCTCTTTTTTAATTGAGTAATTTTTCTAGCATGTCAGATTCATGCAAAGTCAATAACCAACAAATAGAAAGTCTAAGAAACTAACATTTGACGCATAATGAAAAATAATTACAAATAAATCCTTTCTAAAAAAATATGACTATTGTCCCTATGCACACATTGATAAATGGTTCGGATCATGTTCCCAAGTGTTCCTGTATGCACATTGATAATTAAAAAAAAATCAAACGCATTAATATAAGAATTATAAATAATTTAAACTTGAGAGGGAGTTGTTTAGTTGGCATCAAATTGGAGAGGTTAATTAGAAAGTTGTTTGTAAAAATATTTGAATTTATTAAAAATCAAATAAGATTACCAAATTCACCATGGTGGCTTTCAACACCACTAGTTTAATTGCAGTGATCGTTATCTCGTCCTTTGATTCAAAGACCCAGGGTGCGGATTAGAGGAATTGGACCCCCTCCAACTACCACCTAATTGGAGAGGATCCGAATCCAAAGAGCAAATAAAATTGAAAAGCAATTGAACAAGAAAGTACTAGCGCAGTCAAAATTTCATGAAAAGAAAACAAAATTTAGATGGCGCACCTTCTCGAATTCATGCCTCCACAAGAGTTACGGAAGGGGGTGAACTGTAAAATAAAAAAGGTTTTCAGAAGAGTAACACAATCAATCAACAATCATAAAACATTCGAGAGAGTCCCCAGGAAAAGAGTAAGCAAGAACAAATTTTTTTCAAAAAAAAAAAAAAAAGGAAAAGCAGAATTTGATAGATCCAGCAATTGATTCGATGGATAGATGGAGAGAGCGGAAGCTTGCCTTGGGTTGGGATCCGACGTCCGAGAGTGTGAGTGAGTACGGCTTGAGGTCTGTCAGATACAGATCCGAAGGAGGAGGAGGAGGGGAAGCATTAAAAGGGCGGTTGAGTTTCATGGATGGGTTGGGCCGTGGGCCGTCGCCGATGCTTATTGATCCACCCATCCATTTACGTATCATTATTATTAGGAGATTTTTTTTTAAAAGACCATTTTAAAAACAAATATTAGCAAAATAACTCCGATTGTTTACTTTTAACCCATCGATGATATCCTCTTAACCATTGATGATCCATTGGTTGAAGTGAATAATCGGAGGGTTTTGAGGCATAACTTCATCGTGCTGATTATTCTAATTTGAGCGTATTTGGTTGTCCTGGATATGCACATGTAAATCAGGATAAATTAGAACCTAGATCTAAGAAATATATTTTTATTGATTATGCCTTTCGGGTGAAGGGATATAGATTCTGGTGCCCTGATTCTAAATCAACTAAATTTATGATTGAGAAAAAAATAAAATATTCCATGAGTCTGCTATGTTGCTTCCGAAAGAATATAGTGCTCTTGTTCCTTCTGGTGCAGGTACTACATATAAGAGTATCATAGAGCAATTGGAGTTTGAGATAGATTCTCATAATTCAGTCTAACAACCAGCTGTTTGTTTGCTAGAAAGTAATGAGCAAATAGAAGTTACAGCAGCAGATGGCACGTATAGTATTACAAAAAGTTAGAGGGAAAGATCGATAAAGCCACCTCAGAGATATGCAGATTCAGCCATTGCATATAAATTATCAGTAACTGAAGGGATGGATATGTCGACGAAGCCATTGCCAATAGCCAAGTTCAAGCTTTTACTTGGACTTGATTTAGGTTAAAGTACATTGAGGCGTCGTGGGGCGCATTTGTAGATGTGTTGGTTGTACACTATTGTGAAAGTTGAGAACTCATTAGGATTGTTGAGTCAAGGTGGAGATTTGTTGAAGTTATGCCTCAAAACCCTCTAATTGTTCAATTCAACCAATGGATAATTGATGGTCAGGAGGACACTATCGATGGTCACTTCGATCATCAATGGGTTATGATGAACAATAAAAAAAACATAAATATGATTTGAACCATTGATGGATTGCAAGAGATCATCGATGGTCTTGTTTGACCATCGACGGTTACCATTAATGGATTGCAAGAGATCATCGATGGTCGTGTTTGACCATCGATGGTTACGACGTCGATTGTAGTTTTTGATGATTTAATCTCAGCTGTTCATTTTTCTAAATCTCCAACTTTTACCAAGTTTTAGATATTTTTTTCCTGATCTATCATGGTCTCTAATATATTAAATAGAGAGAGTTTAGATATGGTTGGATTATGAGAATGTTGCGCGCAGCAGAAATTTTGGCAGCACTTCGGCAGCACAACAAGAGAGTCAGATCGCAATAAGAATTCCCGTCTCACCAAGGAAACAAGAATCTGAAGCGAATATCTCAATAAAATGAGATATCGGTGTTGTGCCTGAAGCTGTGTCGAGGAACCAAACCAAACGCCAATCCAAGAGAGCCAAACGAACCAAATATCAATGCACAAATAAAACTCCAATTTTAACGTGGTTCGGCAAGTTGCCTACGTCCACGGGGCAAGAGGGGATGGGGTTTTCACTAATAGAGAAAGAGTACAAACTGAGATTACAAATCACTCGAAGGAACAAACTAATCTCACCAATAAAACTCTTAATCTCTCCAAATAAAACCCTAAACGAATAGCTCAAAAATACCTCTTTTTCTGTGCTCCAAATACCCCTAATTTTTTTTCTCCACCAATTTTCTCTTCCAATTGTTCCATATATATAGAAATCCTAAAATCATAAACATACTGTGTGGTGCAGGACAGATTCTGCCACACCCTGCACCGTGGGTGTGGCAGAGGGTGTGGTGCAGGACAGATTCTACCACACCCATGGCAGACACCACACCAGGGTGTGGTGGAGTCTGTTTTGAGTTATTCTTCATGTTTTTCACAATTCCTTCGCCAAAAACCAACAATCCAGAGCAGAACGTAAGTCGACTCATGCACCAACATAAGTCGACTTACCATAAGTCGACTTATGCCTGTGCATGAGTCGACTTATGACCAAAAATCTGCTTTTTCCAATTCTTCTCCACAATTCTCCACCTCGGCGAAGTTTTCCCAAAACTGAGCCGACACCAACCAAACTCCATCCACACAAGTCGAGACCCAAACGGGAGTGCGAACACTCACCCAAACGTCGGTATCTACTCACCAAATCGGCTGCATCAAAACTGACTGCCTACGTATCCTCTTGCCCAAGGAATCAAGCCTTCACGTAGTTCACCCAAACGGCCTCCAAAGGCCCTCAATCAAATAGAAAAGTCTGCAACTCTTCTCCAATATCACCAAACGATCTGCAACTGATAGTATTCCCAATGACCCCAAATTGAGACAAATCAAACACCTCCACCTGAGGTAAACCAATGGCCATATCCAAACTATATCTACCAGCTGCAACTGAATCCAAAACCAATCCATCATCTGCATCCAAAACCAAATGATCTCCAACCTGTGTCACCTTAGCTGGAATCCCAAATGACGCAGTATGATCTGGAGTATGTGGAGTAATCTCCACCCAACGTGGAGTAGCATCACTCTCCACCTGCTGCGATATCCAAATGACCTGATCAACACTCTCCACCTGCCGAGAGTCAAAAGTGACATACCTGCTCAGAACAAAATCAGAAGCTCCCAAACGATAATCAACTGAGCCTCCGAACCCCAAACGCGCAATCGGATCCAATCTCACATCCACGATGTGACCAAATGCTGGGTATCCAAATATCCGACGCAACCCAAAATCTGAAGCAGCTCCACCAGATCCAATAACTCCTAATGCAGCAGTCGGCGACCTGTGACTAAGATGACCCAAATATGTCGAAGCTCTAGAACCAATGCTCGACAACCAACGCCGATCCTCCTCCAGAAAGGAACGACCCATCGAAACTGTCATCTCATCTCGTCGCCCCAAAGTCTCCACACCAATGAAGTGTCTCCTATTGCCGTGAGCTCGGCACCAACGCAAGAAAGGACCCCTACCAAAGCTGAAACAATGAGTTACCTTTCTGCCAATACACTTCTTCCAATTGTTGTTGACTTCTAGGACTTTACACCAACGGGAACTGGTCGCGACCCAATAATGCCTAGAACAATCTTCAACTGCGGAAACTAAGATACGATTACCTCCCAATGATGCCTCCTTGGAAGGCCCCCAAATGCCTGACTGAACACCTCCAAAAAGACCCCTCGCTCGATGGATAGAAGTGCCAAACTCCACCACGGTCTCGCTCATCCTAATGTGCTCACAGGACTTCAATCTGCAGGTCATAGCACTCCTCAACAACCAATGCACGACATTACCAATCATATACCCCAGCACCAAACAATGCCACAGTCTAGCCGAATCTGATAAAGTCGTCATCTCCCTATCAATCACCGTGCTCCCAAGCAAATAGTACAAATTGCTCCTTCTGACGCCCTTCATCACAATCATGGACCCAAATGTAACCTTCAAGCGTGCATCCGCCAAGGTTACCCTATAGCCTGCTACCTCCAAAGCTCCAAGTGAAATAATGTTCTTCTTCAACTGAGGAACGAACCTCACTCCAACCAACTCCCGAATTACCCCGTCACTCATCCTGATCCGAACGGTACCAATACCACCAATAGAGCATTTGTGATCATTCCCCATGAGCACGAAATCCCCTCTTTCCAACTCCTGAAAGCTGGAGAACCAATTCCTCCTAGGGCAAATGTGGTATGTAGCCCCCGAATCCAACATCCACTCTGTAGAGTAGACAACATAAACTGACAGCAGTGCAGATAATGAGTAGCCCGAAGAATCCGAATCTGAATCGTTGCCACTAGCCTTGACAACATTCGCCTCTGAAGCTTGAATAGCTTTTCCTTTATTCTTCCCGGCTCGATCAACTAACTTTGGACATTCGGCTTTCCAATGTCCATCCTCTTTACAAAAGGCACACTGATTCTTACAAACTCCAAGATGTGTCCCTCTAGACTGTGACCTCCCACTACGGTTTGGACCCTTTGCTCTTGCGACCAACGCCCCCGCTATCGGCTCAATCGAAGTCTCCTTATCCTTCTTTCGAAGCTGATAATTCACAAGTGCAGCGGTGACCTCACTATACGAAAGAGATGTCTTCCCATTAATAAGAGTAAGAACGAAGGTCTCATATTCCTCGTCGGGCAAGGAACTCAACAACAACAACGCCTTGTCCTCATCTTCAATCACCACATCTACATCGTCAAATCCGCAAAGAAGCTTCGTGTAATGGTTCATGTGATCACCAATGGAGGTTCCTTTCTTCAACTGGAAGCGGTAAAGCCTCCTCTTCAAATGCAAGCGATTCTCCACACTCTTGGTCAAATACTTGCTCTCAAGGATCTCCCATATCTTCTTTGCAGAAGTCTCATTGATCACATCATACTTTAGATCTTGAGTGAGACAAGACCTAATCGCACCACACGCCGTTCGATTCATCTTTTTCCAAACCTTCTCATCAATATTGTCCGGTTTTCCGTCCAACTCCAACGTATCTTCCAAATTTTGCGCGTTGAGCGCATCCATGACTTCGCATCACCAAAGTCCAAAATTATTTGTGCCATTGAACTTTTCCACGTCAATCTTCATCGAGTGGATATTCAAGCTTTGGACGGTCTTCACACCGGAAGTACTGCCCACAACTCCTTCTTTCTCGGCCATAATCCTCAAAACACTACCAAACCAATGCGGAAACAAACGAGAAATAGATCCAAACTGAAAAAGACGAGATTTTTACTAAAAATATCCCACCTTTAACACCAAACGAAGCCCTAGATGAACTTCCAAAGCGATCTACTCCTCCAAATAGCCCAAGCGTAGCCCGAGCTCTGATACCAATTGTTGTGCCTGAACCTGTGTCGAGGAACCAAACCAAACGCCAATCCAAGAGAGCCAAACGAACCAAATATCAATGCACAAATAAAACACCAATTTTAACGTGGTTCGACAAGTTGCCTACGTCCACGGGGCAAGGGGGGATGGGGTTTTCACTAATAGAGAAAGAGTACAAACTGAGATTACAAATCACTCGAAGGAACAAACTAATCTCACCAACAAAACTCTTAATCTCTCCAAATAAAACCCTAAACGAATAGCTCAAAAATACCTCTTTTTGTGCTCCAAATAGCCCCCAATCAATGCTTAATCAAAGCCTAAACCAAGCCTAGGAAACCCTAAAAAACGTGTCTCTATTTATAGCAAAACACAATCCCAAACTGATTGGGATTCTAAAAACGAGTCTGTCACACCCTGCACCATGGGTGTGGTAGAGGGTGTGGTGCAGGACAGATTCTGCCACACCCTACACCGTGGGTGTGGCAGAGGGTATGGTGCAGGACAGATTCTACCACACCCATGGCAGACACCACACCAGGGTGTGGTGGAGTCTGTTTTGAGTTATTCTTCACGTTTTTCACAATTCCTTCGCCGTTTTCACAATCGGCTCTTCCTCTCATCAGTTCTAGGACTGACTTGTCGAGGGATCCTAAAAATCTATTACAAATCACACAAAAGCGATACAACCAATTTTACGTGGTTCGGCAAATTGCATACGTCCACGGGGCAAGGAGGGGGGAGATCTACTACTAGAGGGAGAGATTACAACTAGGTTTACAATCACTCACAACCTAAACCCTCAAACAAATTCTCAAATCCCTCACAATATCTCTCTACAAAAGGATGCACAAAACCCTCAATAAAGGGGGCTGCTCAAAACCAAAACAAAAGGCACTGCAATTGCACGCTGCAAACTGTAGCCGCCAACAAATTCCTTTGCACACCCTCAATTGCTCGCGTTGTTCTCCTCTGCAGCCGCAAAACACCAAGCACCAACCTCCTGCACACAAGCCAAAGTCGCACCCTCCTCTGCCTTGTTTTCCACGAAACCCTAGACATCAGGTTTTATACAAGAGATATTTGGGTGGGCTTTGAAGTTCACACGGTGTTAAAGCATTCAAGCATTCACATGAGTGGGCGTGGGCCCTATGTGCCCACGTGCTTCATAATTCTCCACCTCGGCGAAGTTTTACCAAAACTGAGCCGACACCAAATGCAACCAAATGTCCCACTTGTTGTGTCCAGTACGAAGTGAAACAATTCACGACAACGGACTCAATCCACAACAAGTCGGGAACTTGAACGAGAGTTCAAACAATCTCACCCCCATCAAAAATAATACCGGCTGCATCATAAATACTGCCTACGTATCCTCTTGCCCAAGGAATCAAGCCTTACGTAGTTCACCCAAATGGCCTCCAACGGCCTCAACAATCACGAATGTGCAACAAGTTTCGACAATGATCAAACTTGTTGCTCGGAACCACATTTGTGAGCATATCCGTCGGATTATCCTTCGTATGGACTTTCACTTCCGGTATGCCGACACAGTTACGATAATTTGTAATGGAGAAATTGAGGGTTTAGACTATTGCCTTGTTCTTGTAGATCTTTCTCTTTTGATAGTAGATTTTCTTTGACGTCTCCGTCGTGGACGTAGCTTAAATTGGGTGAACCACGTAGATCAATGTGTTTGCAATTGCTTGTCAGTACTTGTTCTTCACGATTATTTCTGCTTTATTTTGCACTTGTTCTAACACAAACTATGATGGATGATCAAATATGCACACAACATTGCGTGTGGTCAAGAGTATTTTCTAGTAAAAATGTTTTTTGAAACCGTGGAGCAATAATGCCAGCTTTAAGATGGGGAAGGCGTGGTATAGAAATATTACCAGTTTCTGAAATAGTGAAGAGAAAAAAATACGTGTTTTTGTGGGGGAGGGGAGGGGGAGGGTGTTGTGCTTACTCGTGTCAAACTCAATGTAACTAGTACTATGTGGTAGTTTACATGAGTAAACGTGGGTAATGACATGGCCATTCCATTCGCTTATGACATTAGGGTTAAATTCACATAATCTCCCCTAACTTTGTGCTAAACTATGTGTGGTGATGGCGGCTAAGTTTTGTTTACTTCACATAATATTCCTGAATTTTAGAGTGTCTCACAAAAACTTCATTGAACTTTGAACCTTTCTAATTAGATCTCATTCGTGTTATTTACAAATAACTAAACTTCTATTGCGAGAAAAAAGTTACAAAATTCCTTTTTCTTAGGTTGGTTAGGGAGGGGAGAGGGGGCGTTAGGGTGGTATGTTGATGTAAATAACAAGTGACTAAGTTTAGAAATTTTTTCTCTTAAGAAAATTTTAGTTATTTGTAAATAACATGGAAGTGAGAGAAGTTCAAATTTTAGGGAGGGATTTATGAGGAACTCCAAAGTTTATGAGGGTTATGCGCAACAACCCCTCAAAGTTCAGTGGGGTTACGTGAAATCAACGCTTAAATTTACTAGCATATACTACCATATCAAAAAGAGGAGAAAGAATGGTCTGAGACGAAGATAAGGCTACGCTAATTACGTTTAAGAAGTATGCTAATGATATAGCATGTCAATCGCTTAATTTTAGACAGAGACACAGGAGCCTTCTCTTTATTCAAGAGTAGTTTTATGGCTCAATGCCTCCGCATCTTGGCATTAACATTCCCACCTCCAAACGTTTGAACTCTCTATTCCCACTCTGCAATAACTCTCTCCATCTCCTCCAGCAGCTCCACTCTCAGATCATCATCCATGGCCTCCACCTCTCCCCATTCTTCGGCTCTAAGCTCGCCACCTCTTACTTCGTCAGCTCCCACTCCCTGCTTTACGCCCGCAGGGTGTTCGATCAAATCCCCACAAAAAACCCCCACTCTCGGAACACCATGCTCTCCCTCTACTCCAAAGCCCAGCACTTCTCCGCCCTCCTCCACCTCTACTCCCTCTCTAAAACGCAATCCCACAAGCCCGATAACTTCGCCCTCGTCTTCGCCATCCAATCCTGCACCAAACTCTCACTTCTCAACTATGGAAGGTCTCTTCATTCGGAAGCCATCCGACTGGGGCACCAGTCTCATGACCATGTTGCTGCCTCCCTCATCAACATGTACCTCGAGTTGGTTTCCTTAGAAGATGCTGAGAAAGTCTTTGATGCATCTAGAGTCAATGTCAATCCAGGGGTTTGGGGCCTCTTGATGAAAGCTTACTTGAGAGAGTCTATGGACATTCAAGTTTTCCAATTGTTCCATTGGATGAAAGAGTTGGGTCATGAACTGAACCCTTGCATCGCGGTTCTCCTCGCTCGAGCTTGTGGGAACATTGGTGCCGCTCGAGAAGGGCGATCCATTCATGGGTTTTGTATAAAAAAGAATCTATTGGATTCTAATGTATATCTGCAGACATCACTTGTTGATATGTATGCAAGGAGTGGCTTCATAGACTTTGCAGAGAGACTATTCGATGCAATGGCCACAAAGGATGTCGTATCATGGAGCACCATGGTTTCTGGCTTGGCCCAAAGTGGGAGAGC